GCATGTGTTGTGGTATAGTATTCGCGAGCGATGGACCCTCCTTGATCAACGTACACGATCCGGGCCCCAGGACAAAATTAATCTCAACAATGATTTCACTAATCCAGGTAATGGTCACAATTTAGCAGTCAGTCACAGTCAGCAGCAGGCGTGTTCACACACAAGAAAAACCGCGATGCTAATCGCGATGGAAATACCGAGATAATTGTGCCCTTGTTCCACAGGCGGAATAACTCGCTAATCGCGAGCCGGGGATAATTCTATTAATAGAACTGCGCATGCCTGATATCAAGCGGGAATATAACCTTGTCGGTCGCGCAGCGCGCGAATTATGTACTACCGCGATTCGAGTTCGGTGGTTCGATTCCACGTACACGGCAGTGCAGTCGTTGGTAGTAGTCTTGCTCTGTTACGTTAACGTATGCTACTCTCTACGTCTGCACGTATTTACGTAAACACATCGTATTGTTAGTACAGAGTCGAGACTGCATCTTTTCAGATTGAATTGGATCGCGATTAACCCTCTTTCTTGAACATTGCCAAACGCCATGAGATAGCGATAATGGCACAGATACATACTCCGCTGATGAGTAAAATTGCTCTGAATGCTGGTAGAGATAGATGATAGAGTGGATGAGATACTGAGAACTACACAGATACTTAGTGCGCTGATGAGTAAAATTGCTCTGAATGCTGGTAGAGATAGATGATAGGGTGGATAAGATAGCGATAACCGCACAGATACATGCTGTGCTGATGAGGAGGAATTGCTCTGAATGCTGGTAGAGATAGATGATAGAGTGGAGGAGATACTGAGAACTACACAGATACTTAGTGCGCTGATGAGTAAAATTGCTCTGAATGCTGGTAGAGATAGATGATAGGGTGGTTGAGATAGTGAGAACTACTCACTCTAGTCTGCTACTTGTTCCAGCTCCTTGCTGAGTGTGGGGTGTATGTAGAGGGAGCACCGATATTGGTCTATGATGATTGACTATTACTGCGTTTAAGTTCAAAGGTTATATTTTTTGATTAGGTAATGTTTCCGTTCATATTTGATGACTTACACTACATCATAGGCTAGTATGTGGAATTACTCTTGTTATTAGCTTGTCACACTGCTCACAGTCAGCCCAAGTGATACTGTCATATACTCGCGATTTCACACATATAGCAAAACAATCGTTACTCGCGGTTGTTCAGGCAACATGTGAGTTTTTGGACTAAAAAATCAATGCTACCCATAACCCTCAGTCTCGTACTACATTGATATTCTCATGTCCACAAAATTCAATATTTCCCCCGGAACCACACAATTACAGTATATTATATATATGGTACATACCATGTCAACCAGGCAGGTCTGGTGGCAGAGGTACATAGCAAGGTATGTCCGCCAAGCAAGCATCAATGACATAGTGAAGACGATTGCATGCTTGTCGCCCGTCTTACACTGCTCACTGTCTTGCCACAGTATCGTGACGTCGCAGCCATCGTGTGAGCGTGACCGCAGCAGGATCGTGGCCGCGCTGAGGCAGCATGTTCCGCTTGGGCAGCAGGCCCGCGCTCATGGCATGGAGCTCTCCTACATCCTACCACTCAACGACATCAGCAGGTGTGCCTCGCTCGCTTTCCACGTGACCCGTCGAGCCGCGAAACGCAGCGTTTTAACTAGTAAAGTACACTGATGTCATAGGCAGGTTTTTTACAGGGTGTGGTGTGGCAGGTAGTGAAGTTTGGTGCAGGTTGAGTGTATCGTTTGCTAGGTAGATTTTTTAAGTGTCGCGATAGGTATGGTATCGTGAAGGCTTTATCGTAATACAGATAGTTTTGTGAGCTGCCTGTATCTTCCCATCCCTAGCAGATACTAGAATAGTTGCACAGGAGGAAAGTTCAGTGCCGTGGGGTGGGGTAGATGTCAAGGATCCAGTGTGTGTGGTGAAGCAGTTAGAGAGGGTATGTGGTGAGACAGGCAGTGAGGTTATTAGGGCAAGCAAATGAGGTCCCTATAGAAGGGAGCCTAATGCAAAAGGGTGTGTGGAGTGGGGAGGGGCAATTGTTGATCAAGCTAATCACTATTGATCACAGTTAATCACCGTTTGTCCTGCGTGATATTGTCGTCGTTGCTTCTCCTCAGCTTTGCTGCACTGTTTGAGCAGCTGGAGACAGACAAGGAGGAGCTGGGTGTCGCAAGCTACGGCATCGCCATGACAACGCTCGAGGAGGTCTTCCTGAGGCTTGGAGAGGAGGGAGGCGATGACATCCTAGAGGTAGAAAAGTGTCTTCTTGCTCAGTGGTGTGGGTAGAATATGCAAGCTTGTTAAGAGAAGTTTTGCCTTTATGATAAATCTAGTTGAGTTTTACTGACCTGGATATCTATTTATATTCGCTCTAATTTATCTTAAAATACAATTAATCTAATTGTTATAAAATTTAGTGAAAATATTTTGAGTGATTGTTGTCTGACAAGGCATATCTAATGGATGTCATGATGATTTGTTAGGTCACATGAGACTCATTAGCTACAGTGGTGGTGAATAACTGTGGGTATGCCTTACGCATATGATTGCAAAATACCTTCCACAGGGTAACATAGCTCTTCGCTACTGACCAACCAGCCCTGTCTTCGTTTAGTTTCATGGAAGCATAACTTCAGATGTTTTCACAGTCTTCTGTTGGTTTTAACTCCCATGGAGTAATTAAGCCAGTATTTGCGCAGCACACCGGTTGGGAATCGAGATACGTTGTGTTTTTGCAGGAGAGTGTTAACCCAGCACAGCGCCTGATCGAGAGGCAAGGGAGCGTGTTGAGTTCCAACACTAGGCTAGAGAGATCGCTGTCCCGAGGTGGCCATACCAACCCCGCAGAGTTCAACATCCAAGAGGAGGAGGGAGCTGGGACAACTGCAGGTTTGCCGTGCTTATAATGTTATGAGACGTAAGGCTGGAAATGAATGCCAATTCATGATTGACTTGGTTATGTATCCTCTGTCTTTCTACCTTTACCCCGCTACTGTTTTCTCTCTACCTTTACTCTCTACAACTCCTTCACTACCTGTGCCTCTCTACCTCCATCTTTTTAGGTCGAATATCGAGTATATAGATATTTTTACATGCATTTTGCTTTCACATGATAGCAACTTGGGATGGGAAAGGCTGCCAATGAAAATTCATTTTGATTCCGTATTCAGCCTATAGATGGTGCCACGAGTGTTTTACATCATGTGTTCGTTGTAGGTGGCGCTGTAATCGGTGTTAGCGGAGATGTTATGAGCTGCAGCTACGTTCAGCGAGAGGGAACCGAACTTCACGCCACCTGGTGGCAACAGTTTAAGGTTTTACACAAGGTGCGCTGGATGAACACACTTCGCAGTATCAAGGTAATGACAGGATTGACGTGTGAGGGTAAAAAAGTAATCACTGTTCCTTCCAGGTCCTCAACTAGATGGCGCTTTGTCAACTGTGCTGCTTAGGTTTCTGCAGCTTGGCTTGTTTTACAGGGTGAGGTTGTTTGCACTATCCAACCCTCTCGATGTAGCGATGCAGCACCCATGCTGTGACATAGTGAAGCTATTTGAGCATAGAATGCGTTGTTCTTGGGTGTTACAGCCGGTGGGCCCCAAACCACTGATCCTTTAGTGTGGAAGTGTCTCAGTGCTAACCGTTGGTCCTCCCTTGCATCTTGTTATATATAGTTTCATATTTTTCATATATGTACGTGTCATGTATTTACATTTATTGGCATGCTCTGGATTCTTCATCTCTGAAGTAGTGACATCTAACCATCACAGCACACCCTTGCTAGCAGAGCTACAGACGTTTCAGCCCATAGGCTACTGATATTACTGCTCCACATATATACACGAATTCATATATCAGGGGTAGAAATGAACTTTTGAACACGGGAGTCCAACAGACTCGCTACCCTCAAAAAGACGGAGTCCGCTGCAAAATGAGGGAGTCCGCAGTCTGAGGTTCAAAATTACAGATATTAACAATAACGCATACATGTGCTTATTTTTAAGATTCATGCAGTTGCATGTCTGCCAAATTTTCTTTGGACATTAGCTGAAAAAATACGGTAATTCCGTGAGGCCGTGCTCTGGAACGAACTAGTTCGTATGGCAGAATTTTCAGGGAGTCGCACGGACTCCTGCATATATGTCAAATCAGGGAGTCTGACAGTAAATCAGGGAGTATTTGTCTCCGGACTTCCGTTAATTTTGCACCCTGATATATGTATATATATATATATATATATATATATATACTATATATAGT